ATGTACTAAGAATCCCCCCAAATGCTCGATCTTCACTACTAGGGAGCTGGTGAGAAATGAGGGACATCCTAGAAGTCAGTGACGGTCACAAAGCCATCATATCCCAAGGCTAAAAGCATGGCTGACTCCATGAAAGAAAAGGAGTGGACAAAATAGAGCTGGAAGACACAGACATATTTTAAAATTTAGCCCTAGCAGTCTCAGTACTGTGGATATGGCTGACACACAGAGACTCAGGTCATTTCCTGTCACGTGGTCAAAAAGCAGTACATGAATAGGCGGATATAAGGGTGTTTCTATGCAGACAAAGTGAATGACAGTGGCATTGCCCGGGACTGCTGCCAGGTACACGGGAATATCAGGATGGTGATCCAGCAGTGAGCCCATTCTAATCCTGGAAAACCTGTCAGCAGGAATTTGGAAGAGCTAACTTTGGAATACGAAAGACCAGGCATGATGCCAGGGACCACTAGGCACAGCTGAATCATAAGAAGTGACTTCCTTATTTTGCCTTTTAACATAAAATTGTACCAGAAGAGAATTTACACAGAGTAAGTTGACTCATTTAACATCTCTTCCTAAAATCTCAAAGGTCTCAGGTTGGGGTGGCGATACGGAGCAGTAGGGAATTTTGGAACCTTGCTTTTAATGGACCGGAACAACATCAAGGCAATGCTAACAGGATCCAGATCTAGAAAACAAACTGAATTGCTACATGCATTTGGAATCAACAAGTTTGGGAAAAGTCTCTCATCTATAATTCAGATATTTTCAAATGAAGAGATCAAATCATGAGCACAAAAATGATTGAAGATAGAAAGGGGTTTGGAAATAGCCTCGTTGAAATAAAACAAAAACAAAGAGACAGAGACATCAATAATTAATATGAAAACGTGTCAGTGGCTGTTGCATCGGTCATCTGATGATCTCTTACATTTTTCCGTTGCTGAGTATTTTCAAGAACAGATAATAAGAGCACAGAAGTATTGCTGCTGCTAAATTCTAACAGAGGTCGAAGAATCATTCAGTGCTTGGAAGCCGGTGCTGTACTGGATTCTTGGACCCTTCATTACATGTCAGTTTGTGAAATGACACTCACCCAAAGATCTTGTCTGTCTTCTTCAGACCTCAGACTTTGGATTAACTTTCTCTTTTGTTGGCGATTCCAGAGTCATGGATCCAGATACAACTCAGTTTGTAAGAAAACAAAGGAGACATCAACTGAAGGGGACTTGGAAGCTAAAAAATGTTCTGGGGAAAACAAATAAGTGAGGTTGACAAAAAGGCTGGAATTGATAAAAATTCTACCTGAAGTGCTCTCAAATAATAAATGACTACTCTTTTCTTTGCCAAAGACAATTGGGAGATTTGCTAAAAGCTTCATCTGGATTGGGGGTCAGTTGGTATGACATTCCCTGTAGCTTTGTCTTCTTTTTTTCTTACATCAGATCACCCATGATAAAACACACAATTGCACACCTAATTGTGAATCTTTAACAGTTCTTGTATGTGCATCATACTTTTTTATGTCCTCTTTCTTCTCCATGGAGTTAAGACTGTCTACCAAGATTTAGGTGCAAAAGCTGACATGGTGGCGAACTTTCAAACCTGTTTAATTAAAGCCATTTAAGAATGTGTTAATACCTCAGTCTGTAGGCATTCCTTGAAATCCAAAGAAATAAGCTGACTTTATCCGTACAATTGTTCTCATATGATTCCTGGGCAAGTCTGGACAACATGTGGCCTGGTAGTTGTTGTTCCAGGATATAGCCGTGGACAATTTAAACTTGCTGGAACTCAGTTTCCTCAATGTAAAGATTAACTGTTCGGCAGTATGTACTAGAGACAAACACGCATACCCTATGACCCAGCACTTTTCAGAAATTTACATATATGTACACGTGTGTTCATTTGTGTCTAGAAAAGTGTACAAGAATATTCATAACAAGATTATTTACTAAAGTCAAATGCTAGAAAAGACCCACATGTCCATCAGAAGTAGCATCAATACATTTATTGTGGAATATACATGAGATGGAATAACACACACCAATGAAAAAGAATCAACTACTGTTATGGCAACGGCATGAATGGAACTCACAAATATTATGTTGCTTAAACAGTTCAGACACAAAGAGCAGAGTAACATTCAACTCATATATTTCTCAAAAAAGGGAAAATGAATCAATCATGATAGATAAGATGGGACAAGTCAGGATAGTGGTTAACTTTGGAGAGAACGAGGCTAGTGACAAAGAGGACGCATGTGTGGCACTTCCAGGATAACTTAATATCCTGCGTCCTGCTCTGAGTTGTCATCCCAGGGTGTACTATTTTGCAATTGTTAATTCAGCTGTACACTTGTGATTTATTTGCATTTCTAAATGAATACTACACTTTAAATACATATTTTTTAAATTGACGGATAAAGTCAGCTTATTTCTTTGGATTTCAAGGAATGCCTACAGACTGAGGTATTAACACATTCTTAAATGGCTTTAATTAAACAGGTTTGAAAGTTCGCCACCATGTCAGCTTTTGCACCTAAATCTTGGTAGACAGTCTTAACTCCATGGAGAAGAAAGAGGACATAAAAAAGTTACAACTCTACCTATAGAAGGGGAAGGCAGAACCTAGAACAACCGCATAAGGTCATACAGTCTTTTTCTAAAGACCTCACTGATTTGATACAACATGTTGGGTTTTGTTTTTGTTTGTTTTGTTTTTTAATTTTTGCTGGAAAAGCTATTCTGTCCCATGTGAGCATCAGAGAGTGAGGAAAGCGCAGAGATGGGGATTACAGATGGCTTCACAGAAGCCAGAACAAGGCCTTGGAGAACAATTCAGACCTGGGTTTCGGTACTTAACTTCTTAGAAAACCCCTTCAAGTGTCTTTATCTTGAAAATGAGAGGATTGAATTAGATTGTATCGGCCTAGTCTGTAATTTTCAGGGGATAATTTAAAATATGTATAACACTTTAAGTATTTTATTCTTAAAATTTTTAATGTGCACTTTAATGTAATTAAAGACAGATTTAGTTGCCACCTTCTTTGAACTTTTCTGCTTGGATTTCATCTTTCATTGACTGTCATTTTACTATATCTGCTTTTTATTTAAGTTGTTTCACATTTTCTTAGATATAAGATAGTATTAAAATAAAACAGGTAAACTCCCCTGAGAGAGATTATTTATGTCATAGTTTAATCAAATCATACGAATCCTAAGGAAAATGTTTTCATACCCAGATGGCCACAAACAGATGCACCATGCAATGTAACATGTATCGTGCTTCTAAATTATGGAGAATAATGTTTCACTATTTCAATCATGATGACAGTATTATTTATAGCTATCTTATACAATATAAATATATAAATATATAATAAAGACTATATAAAGATATAAAAGATAACATATAATAAAGAGCTCATTCACAAAATTAATAATCATAACCCTTCATGAAAACAGATTTTACGCTTACTCTGGGTTTGTGGTGACGAAATTGTCTCCAGGCTTAGCATGTCAGAACCTTTGAACACACAGCTCTTTGGGCTAGCCTTGCAGAAGGCTCTTAGATCTTTAGCCATGCCAGGACCCTTCAGTGCCACTTATGCTTAACCAGCTCTGAAACAAATCGGCTTTATGCCTCCTTGAAGAAAGGATAAATATCAATGGACTGCTTCTGCCCCCTGCTGGTGGCCAGCTAGGACCATTAGAGGAATTAGCTACCCAAGAGTGGCAATATAATTAACTAATTGTTCGAAGCAGGTTTTCTGTGTGCGTGTCATTAAATGATTATGCTGAAGAACAAGCAAAAACCCAGACTTTCTTGAAAAACAAAACAAAAAACAAAACCTCCAATGTTTTCTATTCAATACAATTATAGCCACTGACTTCTAGACCCACTACTCTTCCGCCTTTAGGGTAAGCAAAGACCTTTGGTCATTAACCTACCTAATCTGAAAAAGGCAATGAGTTATTACATAGAGAATCATTTCCAAGGGTAGAAAAGAATACATATGCCTGGACATGTAGGTCACTTTGAATTAGAAAAGATAAGAACAAAGTCCCCTGAAAGCATGATCTGTTTAATTTGATAACAGATATGCTTTCTAAACAAACATTACAGAATTCCAGACAAAGTACACAGAAGGAATACCATAATCCTATCACTGCCCCGGACTCATATTCACTGCTGCTTATCCTGTTTAAATAATTTTTTTATGCTAGACAATGATCTGGTTGCTAGAAATTCAGAAAATTATTATGCATACTGACTTTGGGGTGGCATAGCACAACATGATATTTAGGGAAATGACGGGCCTTTTTTCCTCTATTTTTTAGTGCAGGTAGAGTTCATGGTGCATCTGACATATCTGAACACTTTTCTCTTGAAATCTTCATTGATTGGTCTCATCAACACTATCATCTCCTGACTCCCATTCTGTATCTCAAAATAGAAGTTAAATTTTTTTCCAGCATTTATTGATCTTTGCTCAAATGCTGATAGTCTCTGTGGAGGTACCATTAACATTTGTGGTTAGTTTGAAGGAGACTAAATGAGAGTATGTGCTTGTAATATATGCTTAAATCCTCTGGTTCTTTCGTCATCAATCCCAGGGCTTTGTCTATTTGTCTGGGTCAGGCTGAGAATGATAGGACTCATATTTGAATTCTGAGAGTTGTGACCAAAATCAATACGGATTCTGTTCTGTATGCCATGTCAGTGACACCAGATTGATAGTGTGTGGGCAGCAAGGAACAGATGTGTGCTTTAAGAGTGTTTAGGTCTCAGAGCATTTTTACAATGTATTTGCATTTACCTTGTTCTTTTTACCGATGTAATTGTGCAGCTTTTAACTCATAGATTCATTCACTAATCGAATTCATTAATCTAACAGTCATTTAATAAATACCTGCTTTATGTTAAACCTCATTTTGCATGTCAATGAGCAAAACTCAGATATGGTTCCTGTTCCTCTAGAACTTCCAATAGATCTAATGGATAATCAGCATGTAAGTAGTATGAATACAAATCAGATTATTCCAGTAAGAGTCACTTATTTGACAGAAAACAGACGATGGTGGGGTTATAAAAATTCTTCTGAGGAAGCAGCATTACTGAAACCTGAATGAGGAAAGGAGATTTTGTTTTGTTTTGTTTTGTTTTGGTACATTCCCCTAGCGAGAACCGAACCCAGGACTCTCTGGTCCACAGGCTAACGCTCCAACTGCTGAGCCCAACTGGCCAGGGCGGAAAGGAGATTTTATGCAGATACCTGGAGTAGATAATTCTAAGCAGAGAGAAGACAAAGAGCAAAGGTCCTGAAACAGGAATAGTCTTAATTTGTTTTGAGGAAGAGAAAGATGCTTAGAGATTAGGAAGTGAAGGCATGGTTTACAGTATAGGAGATGAACTAGGTCGTGAGTCCTCTGTCCTCCTCGCTATGGCTTTTGACCACTACATTGCCATTGGTCACCCACCATGCTACTCCTCCATCCTAACTAATGAAATTATAAAAATTGGGGTGTTAATTTTATGTAGGAGTACATTACTCATACCTCTGGTCATCATTCACCTAAAGTTCCTAAATTATTGCCATCCCCACATTCTTTCTCACTCGTTCTGCCTGCACCAGGACTTTCTCCACCGAGTTTGCCCAGACATCTGAATCAATAGCTATTATGCCCTGATGTTGGTCATTTGCACACCATTATTAGATGCTGTACTTATCCTTTTCTCCTATGTCCTGATTCTTAAGTCAGCCCTGGCAATTGCCTCTCAGGAGGAGCTGCATGAGTCATTTCTGCCTGCATCTCCCACAGCAGAATATGTGCTGCCCTCATATTCTATATTCCTATCAACAGTGCCTAACAATGGTGCCCTCTCTCCCCCATGGCTCATGTCCTCATGGCAACAGCTACACCCTCTTCCCTCCTTTGATGAACCCTTCATCTACAGTGTCAAGACCCAACAGATTCATAAGAGAATGCTCAGACTTTTTTCTCTGAAAATACATTGGGATATGCAGGTCTTTAAAAAAATAAAGAGATAGCCCCGGCCGGTTTGGCTCAGAGGTTAGAGCATTGGCCTGCGGTCCAGAGATATCTGGGTTTGGTTCCTGCTAAGGACAGGTACCTCAGTTGCAGTTTGTCCCTGGCCCTGGTTGGGTCATGCAGGTGGCAGCCACTCGATGTGTCCCTTTCACGTCAATATTTCTCTCCCTCGCTCTCTCTCTCTCTCAAATATGAGAAACTTGACTGCATAATTTGTGGTAGTTTAAAAAAAATGTAGTCAGAGAATCACCTACAAACACACTCCCTTTTCATCTATGTCTTGGAAATGAGTTGTTCTTAGAGCTGCAGGTTCATAAACTCTATCAAGTGTTGATTTGTGCAAAACAAAACATATGTAGGTTATTCCATAAGTATAATCCTATTCAAGAAAGTATAAAAGTAGTTAAGTGCCCAAAATAGACTTCCAAGAATTTTCTTTGCAGTAAAACAAAGCTAAATTTAAATTCCAGGTCTTCCAATTTCAAAAGTAGATAAATTGCAACTTTTTAATTTGCTGAGATTCAGTTAATTAATCTCCAAAATGGGAAAAATATCAAACTCATGGGAATATTGTGATAACTCTATGGAATGTAATTATCCAATAGGATTTTTCTAAAATAATGGAAATGTTCTATAATATACAATAAATAGATCAATAGCTATATACAGCTTCTGAATACAACTGGGCAACTCCTTTTAAAATTCTGGATAACTATAGTTAATTTATATTTAAGTATTAAAAGACCATTGTATTGGGCAGTGCAGGTGTAGAATATAAAAAGAACATATAATCAAATACGACTTGTGATTCAACTTTTACCACACCTACTTTAAATGGAAAGCCTTACTTTTTGTTATATTTTTATATGTGGACTCCACTGCCTTTTAGCTGGAAGTGAATTTTGTTCTGAGGGTGGGAGGGTGGAGGAGGTGGAGCACAGAGGATGCCTTTTTTGTCTTTATTTCTATCCTGTGGTAAGATGAGGGTTTTATTAGACTTTTCTTACTTTTTGGCTGACATACTAGCAGCATTCAGGAATTTCTCTTACCTGTAAAACAGCTATGTAAAGTCAGCTTAGAGAAACTTAAATATTAACACATATTTAAAGGGAAAATTTCCAGCCAGTTCAACATCCTCAATTTTCAGAAAAGAGAGCCAAGGCTCAAGAAATTATTTTAGTGTCGGAGCCACAATCCCGTATTAATTCTACTGAAATCCATAGAACTTTGAAACCTGAAGCTTTGGGTGCATAGCCTGGCCTAAAGCAATGACAAAACCTGACATAAACTGTTGTGAGGCTATCTGCATAGTTTATATTCTATGTTTGTTGAAATAATATTTGATTATAAGGGACTCACCAAGACCCTAATAATATTGTTAACTAATATCAAGAATATGATCTTGTAACTTTTCTAAAATCTAGAAAATTATTTTTCTAAAAAATTGCAACCTTCCCTGGCCAGTTTGACTCAGCAGTTAAAGGGTCGGCCCATGGACCAATGAGTCTCAGGTTTGATTCCAGTCAAGGGCACTTGCCTCAGTTGCAGTTCATCCCCGGCCCTGGTCGGGTCATGTGACATGGAGGCAACCAGTCGATGTGGCTCTATCACATCGATGTTTCTCTCTGTTTCTCTCTCTCTCTCTCTCCTTCCCTCTCACTCTATCTAATGATAAATAGAAAAATATACTTGGGTGAGTAATGAAAATAAATGTAACCCAGTGATTTCAGATAATGTACCAGAGACATATCTATAAGAGCGACTAAATGTATTGAAGGTCATAGAAATTATCCATGAATTTATCTATAGACTGTACCTTAATTCCTTCATAGAAAATATATATACAATCTCTACTTCTCAAGGCACAGCATAGTGCCATGAGAATGTCAAATCTGACCTTATTTACACTTAAACAAAGACAAAAAACAACAACTTTGAAATATTGCCTTAAATATTTGTAATCTTTTGAAGGTTAGATTTTTTTGTCTGTTTCTTTATAATGCACACACACACACACACACACACACACACACACACACGTCAACCCTAAAAAAAGAAAGCTTTGAACAGACTTTCCTATATCATTTTTATTTTGAATAAGGGAGAAAAAGACAGAGAAAATACAAGTGATTTGTGCCTAGTGGTACTAGGCTAAATAAACACTTGTTTTATCTTCGAAATATTTGGATTTCACCGCCACATTTTTTAAAATTCAAAGTAGGTATTTTTTCCTATAAAACTTCAGATATTTTGCTGTGAAATTTATGCTTAGTGTTATAGTTATAATAATTATAATTAATTATTAATTAATGCAAGTAACAATATCTGCACTTGATAGGTGGGGCCATGTATGTAGAACAGAGAGATAAGTTATTTTCTAAAGCTCTCAAAGAAAGGGTCAGGTTTGGACAGGAACCCAGGTTTGTCCAAATAATGTGGAACTAGTAATAACTTTAAGAAAGAAAAATATGATTCAGGTAACTTTTTAGAATAGCAATATATGTATTATGAAAAGGTTCATCAGTTAACACAAAGGTAAGTTAAAAATTAATACTGACATTCAGTGTAAGAAATTAAAAGGTTATTAGCTTGTTAACTTGACCCTTGATGTCCTGGAGAATTACCTTGATTTGAAATATATATTCTATTCACTTTAATTTTAGGGGTTCAAAAAGCTTTGATTTAGTAATTCTGGTTTGCCTGTCAGACACTAATTGTATAAAATTGGCATTCTATGTTAACTGTTGGTTATCTACTAGTAAAATGGATTTATTTTAGTACCATCCTCATTGGTTTGATAATTACATAAAATGTGTCATATGGCATACTCAATATTTAAATAAATATTTTCGGCTTTGATAATGATGGTAATTTTTATGAATAAATGCATGAAAGAACCCAATCTACCAAAAAACCTACGCCTGCTTCCAATAATTCTCAGAAAAAAATGTTTGGAATGGGTTACCATTCTAGATACTGACGCCACATAAAATGTTGATAGCAGTTGCAGCATATAAGAAGTTTCTGATTCAAAGGCAAAATCTTTAAGAAATGAAGGGGAGTAAGAGAGTCAGTAGATTACAGAATGATGACAGAATATATGATTAAGTAGCCTTAAAACAATTGTTATGCTTGCACTTGGCAGTAGGGAACAAAGAAAATACCAGTTTCATATTCACAATGGATGAGGATAGGAACAAACTATCAATTGACAGCTTTAGTTTTAAAGAAACTTGGCTCGGGAATTTATACATGCTGAAGGGAGTTAGGAGATCACTGTCTGTGCTTAACTGGGGAATGCAATAACACTGTGCTGTGGCCCTGGAGCTGTTGAAGATTTTTTATGTCCCCCTGTATCCTTGACCACTAAATCCTCAGCTAGCTAACAATGACTAAGGAAGACAGAGTATCACACAAAGTAGAAATGGAGAGTTCCAAAGGTGCTTAAAGAAAACAGACATACTCTTTCAGATAGAATATATATTTTAAAAAATTAGGGCAATAAGAGATGGCTAAATAAAGTGAGAAGACTTCTGGCTGTGTACCTCAGTTTGTTAGAGTGTTGTCCCATATGCTAAGGTTTCAAGTTCGATCCCGTCAGGACACATATCAATGACCAATAACAATCAACCAATGTATGCATAAATATCTGGAACAAATCAAGGTATCTCTCTCTCTCCCTCTTCTATTGCTGTCTCTTTTTCTCTTAATCATTAGTTATATCACTTTCTATCTCCATCCACTGTTTTGTTTCTATCTTAATTACTGTATTTTTGACTTTATGTATGGAAAAGCTTATTTTTTCTAAAAGAGTGAAGGTTTTTATTTAAGCAGGTATGCTTCTTAAGAATAAATAGTATGTCATAAAAATATGTTAAATTGACTACATAAAAGTTTGTATGTGACCAAATGAACAAAGTCAAAAGACAAGAGAAAATTATATTCAAAATGTCTAAAATATAAACCTGTTCGACATCTAAATTATATCTAATGATTGTGTATGCATGTACTTATATATATTTCCCAGCATGCCTGTTAGGGAGAATCATTCTCTTGCCTTCTCTAGCATCTAGCTGAAGATTCTGAGAATAGTCACGGTTAATTGCTCCTTCAGGGATATGTCATCTTGCCTCCCCTGCTAGTCAGGTAAGTGCATATAAGTAGAAGTGGAAACTGCCTACCGCCCAGTTAGAAGGTAACAGCAGGAAAGAGGATGCATAAATGAATGTGCCTGCTCCCAGTTCCAGCTGGATAAGTAAGTATCTGATGTCTAGGCTTACCTAGCCATAGTTATGCCTAATGATACACTGATACTGGCTTGTACCACTTTAGGAAAGCTGATTGTAAACATCTCAGTTCTACATTATCACGGTGGTGACACAAAATTGCTCACAGTAGAAGTATTTATCCAAAGAACTTGATAACTGGTACAGATCTGGGTATTTTCACTCAGAGAGCTGATTGTTAAACATTTATTAGCACTCCACTGATTATACCTAACCAAGGACCCTATCCCAGTATGAGAGGAAGAGTTCACTCTCACTCACCATTGCCATTTCTGAGACCCATTCTGAATCCCATTTCTGGCCCCTAATCTCAATCCAAGACTCTGCTACAGATGAGTGGAAGTTTAGGGTAATAAACTGGTTCCTGGAGAAAGAACCTTGGTGCTGAATCCTAGCACCATGATCATCCTCAGCCGGTGGGACCCTGATGTATTAGTGTTACTCTCAACCTTGACCCCTTGTTCCAGCAGGGGACACTGACTGACTGCAAGATACAGAGAAGCTTTACCCATCATCCATGGATAGCAGGTGGAGAAGGAGCGAAATGGTAAGTTAAAGAAAAGCATTGGAAAATATTAAAAACTGGGAGAAACGATCCCAGTTTTCTAATGCATTAATTTTTTTATTTCATGCATTGAATATTTACTGTGGTCAAATATAACAAACAAATTAAATATAGCATCATATATTGCTATTATTGTGTTTTTAGTGAATACCAGGATCTGAGGTATGTGACACCCCCAAGAATACATGTCTATTAAATATAAGAACCAAGAATGTTCTTGACTACTACTATATCACTTTTGTACTCATTCACTTCTGTACAAACAACAGAAAGCTACCTGGTCCTTCAGTCCTTAATGTTCACAGAAAATTGTCATCTCTGTGATTACTATCACTGCCTTTCACTGTCATAAATGACCCAGCTTGAGATTTCTATTACTGCCTTCTGTGTTTGGCATGAGGGAATACTGTTCCATACATCTAATCAGATTTCTATTCCATACTCTGTGGTTTTCATGTCCCTTGTTTCAGAAATAATTTTTTTATCTCTTCTCTAAGAAAATGTCTTCATTGTAACTGTCAAGACTCAGACTTTAATGTACAATAACTGACAAGTGATACATATTTTCCAGTCTTCAGGTACTTCCCAGTATCTTCGAATGAAGTCTCCCTCTGTTATTTCCAACGGTTCCTTTGAATTCACACCTGCAACATTTACTCTTGTTGGTATCCCAGGACTGGAAGCAGAGCACATCTGGATATCTATCCCTTTCTGCCTGACATACAGCATCATCTTCATAGGAAATGGTATCATTCTACATATCATTCGGATTGCCCCTGTTTTGCATCAGCCAATGTACTTCTTTCTAGCCATGCTGGCCTTTGTTGAACTCGGAGTCTGTGCTTCCACCATGCCTACTGTGTTAGGCATTTTCCTCTTTGGCATTCATGACATCAGTTTTGGTGGTTGTCTGCTGCAGATGTTTTCTATGCACTCTTTCACTCTCATGGAGTCAGGTGTCCTTCTGGCTATGTCTGTAGACCGCTTTGTGGCCATTTATAGCCCACTGCGGTACACAACCATCCTGACAATTCCCCGCATCACTGGGATGGGTGCCACCATTGCCTTGAGAAGTGTGATGCTCATGTTACCACTGCTCTTCCTTCTGAAGGATCTGCCTTTCTGTGGCCACAACACCCTCACACACTCTTACTGCCTCCACTCAGATCTGATCAAACTGCCTTGTGCAGACACCCGCCCCAATAGCATCCTGGGTCTGTTTGTTATTACCTCCACATTTGGGCTGGACTCACTGCTTATTGTGGTTTCGTATATGCTGATTTTTCACATAGTCCTGGGAATAGCTTCTGGGGCAGGGCGGTGGAGGGCACTCAACACATGTGTGTCACATATCTGTGCTGTGCTCGTGTACTATGTTCCCATGATCAGCCTCTCTTTGTTGCACCGCTTTGGACGGCATTTACCTCCACTCCTCCAAACTTTCATGGCCAATGCATACCTATTCTTCCCACCTGTGGTTAATCCCATTGTCTATAGTATCAAAACCAAGGAAATTCGCAATAGCATTGTTCGTACACTGTCTAGAAAGAGGGGTGAGGTCTAATCAAACAGACAATACCCTGAGGACATGGGAACTTGGATCAGAACTATTGCCTAGATCTTAGCCTTACAAATGGGAATAATTCCATAGTTTCTTATTGCTTATGAATGATATATATATATATATATATATATATATATATATATGCTGTAATTGATGAGGAAAAGAAAAATAGTCCCTCCCTTTCTCCCTGAGAATAGAGTAATGTCATTACTCTGACATGGGACCTGGTGTGTTTTCTGGTATGGACACCATTTGTTTATCAAATACTTAAATATTCAATTCATTTTTCCCCTTTTCAAATAAGTAGAATGGATCCTGGAGGCTTTCTGTTTCCAGGTATGTGCAGTTTAGTGATACATATTTATGAACGAAAAGAATCAGGACACAAAAGAGTGTGTATTGTGTTATTATCTTTATGTAAAGTTGAAGAACTAGTATTTTAGTGCCCAAAACAACAGAACAGTGGTTACTTGTGATGGATGTAGAGGGGGAAGAAAGACTGGGGAAATGTGAAAAATTTTAGTGGCCGACAGAAATACTTTATATTGCCCTGGCTGGTTTGGCTCAGCAGTTAGAGTGTCGGCCCAGAGAAATACTCTAAGTTGTGTTAGGGATATAATGCTCAAATTTGTGCATTTCAGTATATCTCGATTTTACCTCTAAACTCATAATAAAAATAATTGAAAGGTTAATAATAACAATAAAAATAATCACAGGGTTACATGGTGGGTAGAAGTATAGAAGATACAAGAATGGCATAATGTTGATAATTGTTGCAGCTGGATGATGAGTAGATGGAAGTTCATTTTAATAGTCTGTTTACTTTGTATATGTTAGAAAAATTATAATAAAAATAAAAACAATATACTAATGGTGATAATATTAAATCTTTATTGAATGTGTGCCATGAAGCAGACAACTTTCAGTTGGTCAAAATGATTTGGTCAGAACATGATTTCACTTTAGGACACCGTTTTATTTTTAATGAGCTAAGGTTAGAAAAACAAAAACAAACAACAAAAAAAAAAACCACAGCAATCTAGGAATAATGGTTTAGGAAGAAACAACTAAAAAAAATAAGCCCCTGCTTTTGTAATAGTCTTAGTTGATACAAATCTTTCAGTAGTAGACACTTTCTGGTCAAAGGAAGGTAGGAAGAAAGAAATAACTTAAAGTAACTCCCTTAGGTAGGGCTTGCAAGTTTTTGTTTTTTTTTTCCCAAATGATTTTCACATTCCACAAACTACAGTGGTGAATATCATATTAACCAGAGAGACTTGAATGATTTTTGGTCAACCAAGTAATTAAGAGAGGTTCCTGTCTTAAATTAAACGATAAGGGTATAAGATAATGGGTGGCATCATCTATATATTTTTTTATGCTTTTATCTAATGCATTTAAATTATTGAGTTGTTTATTTTTATATATCTGTCTTTGAAAGTGCTCAGTTCACTGAAATTATGAAAATGGGCTAGGATATTTTTAATAGCCTAGTCTTTAATTTTTTAAAATAAGTTTTTTATTGATTTTTAGAGAGAGAAAGGGAGAGGGAAGGGGAAAGAGAGACGTTGATGTGAAAGAGAAACATAGCTCTGTTGCCTCTTACATGTGCCCTTACCACAACTTGGGTATGTGGCCTTTTCAGGAATCAAGCCAGTGACCTTTCAGTGCATGGATGATGCTCAACCAACTGAGCAACACTGACCAGGGCCTAGTCTTTAATTTTTTAAGGTAGTTCAGAAGCCATTTGATAACAATAATTGTTGGTAATCTCTATGACAATTCTTTAAATTACATAGTATTATTTATCTCATTATACAAATGAAGAAAATAAAAATGCTACATGAATTTTTCAGAACTTCCAGGCCTATGTGGCTCAATTGGTTGAGCATAGGCCCATGCAGGAGGTTGTGATTTGATTCCCAGTCAGGGCACATGCCCTGGTTTAGAGCTAGATCCCCAGTAGGGGGCTTACAGGAGGTAGCTGATCAATGTTTCTCGTTGATGTTTCTATCTCTTCCTCTTTCTTCTTCTTTCTCTAAAATCAATAAAAACATTTTTTTCAAAAAGTATCCAAACCACACAAAGAAAATATGGTTTAAAAATAAATAAAATGATGGATGTAAAACAATTAGCATATTTCCTGGTAGAATTTGCTTACTAAGAACCTTGATTGTATTATTATTATACTATTACACCAAATCTGATCAATATGTGAGTTTCACAGCCAAATTTCACAATGTCTGATCGTAATAGCTCTATGTCCTAATTTTAAGTTCAAAAACATCATAATTAAAGTCATAAACTTATTTGATGAAAGTTTCAATACAGTATATCATGCTAAATGATTTATAGAGATTAAATCAATTATTTAAAAGAAATAACATATGAAACAATTATCAGTCTTTTCTACACATTGCTGTCTGGGAAATGAAAGCAGAAAAGTCCGGCGTAATCCCCCAAATGACAGAGTGAGTACATGTCAGAATCCAGATTTAAAACTAGACAATCAAATTCAAATGCTTATTTTCCAACTGGCCATATTCTGAGTTCTCTAATTAACAATTCAAATCCATTTTTTAAATTGGAATCTGGAAGATGGCAGCGGGCAGGACCAGAAGGAGGGTGAGTGTGTGAGAGAGTGAGCGAGTATGTGAGTGTGAGTGGATGTGAAGGTGGACAACCAAACCCCAGCAGTGCAGAGACGCAGAGCAGAAAGTTCCTGTGCTGTGGACCTGAGCAGCCAGCTACCACGGTAAGCTGCCCTTCAGGGCACTTCTCCCTGAGCCACAGGGAGGTCCCACCATTTTGGAAGATCCTGGGTCTTCCCTCGAAGGAGGCAGTGGGAGTGGCTAGGGCCCAGCAATCCGAGCCCACAAGTGCACCTGGCACCATCAGACCAGTGGACACTGTCAACACAGACCAGTGCACAATAGTGTAGCTCCCAAGGCACTGGCAACAGAAGCTGCAGAAAGCCTGGAGCTCAGCACCATCCCCCATAGTAGCAGCCCTATCAGAGTCGAGATAAACCCCCAGTAACAGAGGTTGGGGAGCATATATCCATCCCCAGGCAACAGAAGCACAGAGCAGCAGCTGAGACCCATCCCCAAAGACTACAGAAAAAGCTGAGCAAGAGTTGAGCCCCACAGGGCAGCAGCACTCCCCAACCACCAGCGGCGAGACCTGGGGCTCCATAGAAGCCTATGCGGTCCAGTAGGCAACAAGAGCAGTGGGAAGCCAGAGCCCCAGAGAGACTGGTGCCATCCAGCTGCCCGCCCACTAGACCTGCAGAGTGCTGGGGCACCAGAGAGGCCTGCTCAACCCAGCAGGGACTGTGCTATACAGTTACCCATGGGACCTGCGGGGTGCTGAAGCACCAGAGAGGCCTGTGTGACATAGGCATAGAGGATGTGAAAATGGAAGGGGAGTGAATAGAAGCTACATAGACAATCTTTCAGGACAAAACAGGAATTACAACTAAAATAAAAACAAATCCTCAGAAAAAAGCAAAAGAAAATCAGCAGAGATAGGACCATATAACCATATAACCTGGTAAGATCTATGGAGGTGTGAGAGGGTGGCAGGTTGGGAGCCCACAGACAGCAGCAGTCTTAGCTGTGAGCAGTGCCCTTGGGGAATAAAGACCAAGCCTTCTCCACAATGTGGAGAGCCAGGACAGAGCCCTAGAATAGCCACAGCCACTCAACTGGGGGCTATGGCAGAAGGAAGGCAGACTGGGCTGAAACTCTGTGGGGACAGCTGGGGTTGAGAGGGCACTCAGAGTTTTTGCTGAGTTGTGGCCACAAAGGACAGTGGCCAGTGTTCTCCTTCCCAGAGCTGTGGGGGAAAGCAGCAGCCCCCCGCCCCTTCCCCCGGAGATTCAGCCTTTCCCAGGTGAGGCAAAGAAATAAAAATTGAGACGCATTAACAACCAGCATCTATCCCACTCTCTGGAAATCCTCTTAAAAAAACACCAGGGCTACATTCCAAGGCACTGAGTAACTGAGACTACTAGCCACCAGGAAAAAGCTAGAGGATAACTGAACCATTCCTGGACTTGAAAATCTCCCCAGGAAACTAAGACTTCACAGTGGTGTTTAACGTGGGCCTGCCCAGGCTTATCCAAACCCAGTGGAGGGAGCCACAAACAGCAGAACACCAACACCCACAGGAAAAATTTGGCAGGCTTCAAAACCCACTGAGATAGCCAAAATAGTGAAACAAATAAACAAATCAAAAATAAAAGAACATGAGAACTTTATCAAAGATGAGATCAATGAAATGTAGCTAAACAAATTATCAGAGGTAGTTCAGAGCCATGATCTTGAGGAAGCTCAACAGCATGAGTAAGGATATCACCACCATGAGAAAAGATTTAGAAACACTGAAAACCAAGCGAGTGAAAATGAAGAATGACATAGCAGAAATTAAGAACACATTAGAAGGACTAACCAGCAGAGTAAAGGAAGCTGAGGACCGAATCAGTGAATTAGAAGACAGGGTAGAAAAAAATCAACCAATCAGAAAACCAAAAGGAAAAAACAATTAAAAAACAAGAAGATAGCTTAAGAGAACTGTGGGACAGCTGGAAACATAATAACATTCCCATCATAGGAGTCCCAAAAGAGGAAGAAAATGAGCAAGGAGAATATATTTGAAGAAATGGTGACAGAAAAATTTCCTAACTTGGTGAAGGAAGAAGGCATTCATGTTCAAGAAGCACAGAGAGCCCCAAGTAAAAAACAACCCGAACAGGCCCACACCAAGAGACATAGTATTTAAAATGCCAAAAATTAAAGACAAGGAGAGAATCCTAAAGGCAGCAAGAGATAAGCAACAGGTTACCTACAAAGGAACCCCCATAAAGCTATAAGCTGACTTCTCAACAGAAACACTACAGGCCAAAAGGGAGTGGCATGAAGTAATCAAGGTTATGAAAAACAAAGATCTGAATCCAAGACTACTCTATCCAGCAGAGCTACCATTCAAAATAGAAGGTC